TACACACACACACACACACACACACACACACACACACACACACACACACACACACACTTTACGTTTTTCCATTTACCACTGCCTAGAAGCCCTAACAAATATTTAATAGTAAATATTACCATGGCCTAGAAGCCATAAAGCTTTTAAGAAATAAAAATATATTACAGTTTACTAGAAAGCGTAGAAGACTCTACAATTTACTAAAAACAGTAGACATTCAGTGACTGCTATTAAAAGTTACGCAGTACTTTCTTTGAGACACTTTAATAACTCAACATATATGGTGCCAATGAAAAAAACAAGACAAAAACAACTTACCTCAAACATCACTGTGGCTTTAAATTGCTTTACAACACTAAACAAAACTGGGTATTTTGTCGTTTAAAAAGTGACTTTAAAAGCAACAAAAAACACCCGACCGAACTCCGGACAAACTCTTGGCTCCGTTGCCCTATCCCAGATGAAAGACGCGGACTACACCCTGTGCCTGGCAAGTCCCACGTACCGACAACTGTTCGCCCTGTTGTTTTAAAGCAGACCCGGAATGGATTCCGCTCCCGCGTTCCCTTTAAAATATGAATCAGCTGTGAAGCGTGAACGTTCGAATCAGCCAATCAGGTTTGCCGTAGTTGACCGGCAATCTAATTTGGAAGCAGTCTGAAGTGATGATGCGTTTGTCTGCTGCTGTGGGTGTTTTGAATTTGATCAAATTGGGATATTGCCGCTGCCTTGTAGGCTCTACTGCAATAAACATTTGAAAAGTAGCTTGTTAACCGACTTCAAAGGGCGAACTCCGATTATACACACAGGCCCATCCTGTATCAATTACCGCATCACACCTCGAGTTGTTAATTAAATAATAAAAGCGCTTGTCTGTGAAGTGCAGAGCGGAGTCTTTGCATTATGCTTATTGTGAGGCTTGAGATGAGGATATTCACTTCCTGCAAACAATAAGCAATGGACCATTACAATCTTAAATTATGCCACTGAAATAACTTTAAAAGGAAACAACCAAACCTTGACAGCAGATATTTCAAACGAGTTTACTAGCTATATTTAAAGGTATTAATATAATTTTTTTGAATGTGAACGTTTCGACTGATTGAACGAGTCTGTGGCCTTAAATCATATAATTTTATATTAATGTGCTACGTAGGGGGATATTTATTTAATTGGCATTCCTTGGCGCAACTCAAAGTGTTGGTCTTTACAATTAAATTTTTCACAAATGAAAACGAGGCAATAGGATGAATTGTTTTAAGGTTTTATATCATGTTTAATTCACAGCACATTTTTGTCACATGCATGTTTTTGGAAAAAAGCATTTTCAATATTACATCGGTTAAATCATCTAAAGTTACACAACTGTACAAATCGACTGGATGTTCACACTTTACCGCCTCGTTTTCATTCACGGAAAAAAAGAAGGCGTCTACCATGAATAAAGTCCACTGCAAGTGCAAAAAAATCAGTACCCATGTAACTGCTGTAAAGAAGCATGAAACATTGCCCATTTAGGACCACAAACAAAAAATCTTTATTTTCTTATCACAAGATACATTAAAGGATACAGAGACACTGGAATATATAAAAAAAAGTTTGAGTTATGAGTTGAAAGAAATTTCTCATTGATATACAAAAATGAAATCCTGCACATCCTTGAATCAAACCCTAAAATCAACCAGTCTTCCCTCCCCCAACTCTATGCCATAATGGAGATCAATATTAAGTTTTTTTTCTTCTTTTTTTCAAGCTTCGCCAAAACATTGTGGGGTCACACAACCCCTTCATAAAAAACAGGTGACAATTAAAAGGGGACATGTTAACATTTATTTGTGTCTTTAATGTGCAGCGCACGCTCCTTTTGTTTAAGAAACATTACAAAACCCCTGATCAGGGGAACAATTTACAATGAAATTTTGTGTTGACTAATCTCAACAAGCCAAGAAATCTGTCAAAAAAGCCCAACCGTTCAGCTAAAAAAAAAAGAAAAAAGCTTAATCATAAGGCAAAAATATGCATCAATATCAGCCTATAGTTGAGCCATGTCTAGGAAAACTCCAAAACATCTTTTCCATCTCACTGGATCCAGTTTAAAAAAAAAAACTTGAGTGGGAAATATGCATCAATATCAGCCTATAGTAGAGTCATTACTAGAAAAACTCAAAAACATCTTTACCCTCTCTCATTATCTACAATTGCTAACAGCATCCCAGTAGCCCACAAGACCTTTATAACACAAATGCGAGGGCATCAACTCGTTTAGAAAAACAGCAGATGTGGAAAACAAACTTTTATGGCTTTGTTCATGATATCATATATGGAAAGGCTCAATTATTGAGGTACAAAACAGGCCAAACTGATTGCGACATCCAACCACCTCAAACCAAGATTTGCCTTACATTCATGAACACCTTCAAACACTTTACTACAACCAGAAGCCATCCTAAGTCATCAAAAAGTGTTTTCATACTAAGACCTACAAGACCTTCAAATATCACTGACTGGAGTAGCTACACTGCAGGAGTTCTGGATCTATGATCACAAAAAAACAACAACAATATTGAGTCTGAGAAACCAGGTTGCCATCAATAAACCAGCTCAACTGCAGATCTGCTGTATAGCGAACAATACTTTGGCTGAAAAGCATTCCATGATACCATCTTTCCACAATTCAGCTAGGCCTGAAAGGCTAGAACCACAAGTACTGGCTGAAATAAAAGGAGAGGCGCAATCATTTATTTGTCTATACAGCATGAAAAAGGGTGGTTTTTGTTGTTAACATAAGCAACCTAAGAAATTAAGAAAATTATGGTAACAAGACCATGTACTCCCTCGCACATTTAAATCCCATTTTCCATACACACAAGAATCAAACTCTTGAAAAATCCTGTTAATATTTATACAAACAACGACAGAACTGGAGAAAAATAAAGTGTGCTTTTCCACCATCTTAGAATGAACATGATTTGCTTTAAATTACACAGTTAAAAGTATTTGTAATTTAAAAAAGCAATGGGACAGCAACTATAACACTGGGAGTAAAATGCTATGAAGTGTGTTGTATGCTGGTGTAAGAGTATGTGGTATGTCATCATCCCGAGCACGTGAGCATGGTGTGCGTATGGGATCTGGGGGGACAACAGAAGAAGAGGAATAAAGAAGAACAGCTGATGATGGCGGGTTTAACATGCTCTGGCAATGGATGTGGTCTACTGGAACATCGCTCAGTCCTCCAACACGATTGGCTCGCTGGTGCTGGAGGGTATGATGGGTACGGGAAGCGGCCGGGGTGGCATGGGAAGTTTGATTTTGACCGGGAGGTGTGGTTTTCTGGCCGCCCGCCTCGTCTCTGCCTGAGTGAGGTGTTTCCTCAGGGCTCTGTAAACCACATTCACATGGAATTAGTCTCAGGGAAAAAAGCAAAAACATGTCAATGAGATGTTTTGGAAACATACCTGGTGTCTTTCGTAGCCACAAACACGACTGGATTCGGAGCATCGCCTTGACTGACCTTCTGCCTCTTAATGACTGACTGGGTGGCTGCTCTCATTCCCAATGCGAACGGTCTTCCATTGGTGGACAAAGAATTACCCCCAGCCTGCAGCCAATGAGAGCGCTTAGATCTGTGTACACCGTTTTCTACCTGCGGGAAGGTTAACGTGTCTTTGTATGTGATACTCACATTGTCGAAGGGCCTCTTGCCCAGTAGGGCGGATGCGCTCCGAGGCTGGTTAACCTGGTTACGGTTGATAGGGGTTGGAGCACCTCGAGGGGCTTTGAGTTTCAAAGGAGCTTGAACAGCTGAAGAATAAAACAAGCACAATCACTCCAAATATTCAAATCTGATAAGTCAAATGATCAGTTTTCAGATATAACATCGTGCCAAACAGTTGACTTTTATGTCTCATCATTAAAGGCAATGTGTGTTAATTTTTCCCATGTTAAAATAGTTTTTCAATCCCTATTTTGGTTTTGATTGAATACTGAAGCCATACCCAATTCTTTAACTATATTGATGAGGGACGGTCGAGGAATAAGGCGGTTCTTCATAGCACTCTTTGCTGCTTTAGGAAGTCTTATCATACCTAAAAAGAGAAAAAGAAACAGTCAAAACATAAATCTGGAGATAAAAAAAACATGTTTATGCTACTGCATACAAATTGAGGGAGAAAACAAGTTTGTATGTTTGCAATTGAATACTCACACTCTGCTTTGACAGCATTGGCATTAATGGAAGCGTAGGGGCGTCGAGCTGCTCGGCGGGACTGCAGGATGTCCTGGCACACCCGACGGGCGATTCGAGTGAGTTTAGTGGTCTGCAGGATGAAGTGGCATGGGAAGTTTGATTTTGACCGGGAGGTGTGGTTTTCTGGCCGCCCGCCTCGTCTCTGCCTGAGTGAGGTGTTTCCTCAGGGCTCTGTAAACCACATTCACATGGAATTAGTCTCAGGGAAAAAAGCAAAAACATGTCAATGAGATGTTTTGGAAACATACCTGGTGTCTTTCGTAGCCACAAACACGACTGGATTCGGAGCATCGCCTTGACTGACCTTCTGCCTCTTAATGACTGACTGGGTGGCTGCTCTCATTCCCAATGCGAACGGTCTTCCATTGGTGGACAATGAAAGACCTCCAGCCTGCAGCCAGTGAGAGAGCTAAGATCTGTGTACACTATTTTCTACCGTATCTTTGTATGTGATACTCACATTGTCGAATGGCCTCTTGCCCAGTAGAGCGGATGTGCTCCGAGGCTGGTTAACCTGGTTACGGTTGATAGGGGTTGGAGCACCTCGAGGAGCTTTCAATTTCAAAGGAGCTTGAAGAGCTGAAGAATAAAACAAGCAAATTACTCAAATGATCAGTTTTCAAATATTTCTCCTGTGTATGTTGAGGAAGCATTGTGCCAAACAATTGAATTCACTGTTATGTCTCAATTTACCCACCCTTAAAAGTGATGTGTGTTATATTTCTGATGTTAAAATAATGTTTTTCTATCCCTATTTTGGTTTTGATTGAATACTGAAGCCATACCCAATTCTTTAACTATATTGATGAGGGACGGTCGAGGAATAGGGCGGTTCTTCATAGCACCCTTTGCGGCTTTAGGAAGTCTTATCATACCTAAAACAGAAGAAGAAGCAGTCAAAAAAGACTATCGAGATAAAATTCACACAGGTTTGTTCACAAAAATTCACAAAAATTGTTTTTATGGTTGTAATTGACTACTCACACTCTGCTTTGACAGCATTGGAGTTAATGGAAGCGTAGGGGCGGCGGGCTGCTCGGTGGGACTGCAGGATGTCCTGGCACACCCGACGGGCGATTCGAGTGAGTTTAGTGGTCTGCAGGATGAAGGTCTGCCGATTTTTAGCCAGAAGTTTAGCTCTCCCTGCGCTGCTGGTAAACGGGGACATGCCCTGAACCTCCTGGCGGGTCATGTGACCACGTGGAGCTGCATCCTATTGGAAAGATATATGTTCATGAATCGATTTGGCAATTTTCTGTCTCCATCTAGCATAAAAACATGTCCATTTAAA